AGGTTCCCCCCCCCCCGGGGAGCTGTCCAGGAGAAAGTGGGCAGCATGGCTCCATCCATGGTTCCTCAGGGGCCTCATGGGAGCTGATGACCCTACTCTCCATCCCCACAAGCCCACACCCACTGCCCCACCCAGTCAGCTCCCCAAAGGCACTAGGGTCATTGCAGGGAGGGACAAATAACAGTGGAGCTGGGGCTGGGGGACAGGCAGGGAGGATGAGGCAATCGGGCCCAGAACACACCCAGGACAGTGGCCAGGAGCCAGGAGAGGGGCGAAAGCAGCTGACAGCTGGAACAGAGCCCAACACCTGGGCCGCGCCTGTGAGCCAGCGCCAAGCTTGGGGTGCTCACATAGGCTTTTCTTCCTATACCCATCCTATCCTTTCAGCGCATTTGACAGAGAAACAAACATGGCTCAGAAAAGTAAATAGCTTGCCCCAGGTCTTACAGTCATAGCCACAGATCAGAGATTTAGGCCCAAAGCTGCCTCCAGAGCCCTATGTTCCCATCCCCTGAACTCCTGGTTTTCTGCCACATGAACCGTCAGTGGCAGGAAAGGGGGGTCTCCAGCCACCCACACGGGGGACACTATCAGAGCAGGTAGGCTTGGTCCATCCAGCCTTTGTCCCACAGGCCAGACTCTCCTGCTGACCAGCAGGAGGCTGTGGAACTCCTGGCTATGGTGACTTCCCATCACACTGTAGGCCAAGTTCATAACCCCCTCAGAAGTTCAAGGTCACCTACCATGGGAGCACTCAGAACCAGAGCAGCAGTCAAGATCCAGTATCTTATCTCAAGGGCTTGGAGCTGCTGAGCCCCAAGTCTTCCCACAGGGAGAGGTGCTATGGGTCCTGCTCCTCATGTTTCAAAAGACACTCCCTGCCTCATTCAAAACTAGAGAGGAGTCACTGATGAGCCTTGGACCTGGTCCCTCCTGGACCCTGCTAAACCAGGTCATCACACCATCCAGGTCCCACCTGCTGCCCCACTGGGACCCTGAGCCAGTGCTCTCAGCTCCCACAGGGCATGGCCAGTTCCTGTCTGAGGTTTTCATCTGTGCAGACTGCATGCAACTCCAGGAGCCACCCCAACCAGACCCTGGCACTGTGCAAGCAGCCCCCTTAGGTCTTCCGTGAGGGTCCGCTGTTCCAGAGGGACCATACTTCTGTGGACTGCAGGTACAGAAAGGGGGATCCCAGGCCATCTCCCAGTCCAGCTCTCCTACTCCAAAGAGAAAGAAGGCTTGGCAAGGGTCACCCCAGAATGAAGACCATCTTCCACTGCCCAGCAGGGCCCTCTTGCAGAACCACCTAAGTGACCGCACAGACTTGGAGGAGCAGTTGCCATAGGCCCTTGGATAACTATCTAGGCTCATCCCTGATCAGTAAAGAAGTGTGGACATAAATAATGGTCATCTTCGTGTGGGCTTGCATAGGAAGGAGACCAGAGAGGAGGGAAACGTGACTCTATTAGGTGGTAGTTTACCCAGCCCATTCGCAGGGCCCTACCCCAGAGGCCCTCCCCCACTGGCCCTCCCTTTCTCTGATCCCGTTCTCAGACCGATCTCTGGATCCACCCCTCAGAGTAGCCATTATCCTGGCATTTCAACCCCCATAGCATTGACCACGCAGCCACAGAGAACTGGGCTATAGTCATCACTATGACGTGTGTTCCTCACGCTCTGACCTCAGGAAGCAAGCAGGCCAGCCCCTAGAGGAGAGAGCCAGGGAAAGCATCAATTAGGATGCCGTACGACAGGGATGGAGGGAAGCAGGGGTGAGGCAGGAAGAGAGAGGAGGGGCACCCAGGGGACAGAGGTTGGGCTCCAACCCACCTTTCCAGCTTCTGGAATAGCCCTGGGCCAGGTTTTCACATCAGGGGTGGGAGGGAGAGTCCAGAGGGCCGGGACGAGAAGGGATGGGAGTGACCGCCCTCGGATTATATTCACTTTCTTTTCAGGGCCTTACTTTTCACTGTTTCCTCCACAACCCTTCCACTGTGGCCACGTGTGGTGTAGAGGTGTCACTTCCGAAGAGCATGTTCGGGGGGTCACTTTCCCCACCAGAGGACACTTCTGTCCCAAGACCCTGCCATCAGGAAGCAGCAGTGTGGTCTGTCCTTTCCTGGAACATGCCTCCCTGCGGGTCCTTCCCTAGACCTCTCTCTCCTCACTGCTATACTTCTCGGATTGGTCTCTTCCATGACCAGGGCCTCAGTTGCTCTCTGCATGCTGGTTGCTCCCCAGATCCATCCTCATGTGTCTAAATANTAAACCCTCTCTCTGAACCATGTCTCTCCAGAATGTGATAGAAGCTTTCAAACGGGAAAACTTATTCTTCAGAAGAGGCCATAAAAGCCAGCAATGCATTTCTAAATGTTGAGAAAGCTTCTTTTTAAAAAAAAAAAAAAAAAATCATAAATATAATAGTTTAATTTTTAAAATAAATTTAAAAGCTTTAAAAGTTTTAGTACTTTAAAACAATCAAGTTTATTATCTTCTCATTCTGGAAGTCAGAAGTCCGAAATGGACCTCACAGGACCCACTCAAATCGAGACATAGGCAGGTCTGTGCTCTCCCTGGGAGCCCTTGGGGAAAATCCGCCCCTCGCTTCTCCAGCTTCTAGAGG